AATTTTTATTTTTATTTTCTGTTATGATGTTTTTGTGAATGGAATGTAAATAATCAGCTCTTAGAGAGTGAGAGACGGCACCACCGTCGGAAAAAATAGAAATTTTTAATATTTTTGTTAATTTTGTTATAGGTTTTACTTTTTGCGACGACATTATACTGTCGCCAAAAATAGAAATTTTATTATTTAAAATAAAAATTTTATTATTTTTTAATATTTTTTGCGACGGCATTACACTGTCGCAAAAAATAGAAAATTTTATATTTTTTATACTTTTTGCGACGGCACCACACCGTCGCAAAAACAGTGTTTTTTTTTAAGAAAAAGACTATTAGCGACGGTATTTTTTGCCGTCTCAAATAACAGTTTTAGCGACGGTAAAATAAGGCCGTCGCAAAAAAGTCAAGAAATTTCAAACGTTATTAGCGACTGCACGGTGCCGTCGCAAAAGGTAAAAAATGTCGTCGCAAAACATTAGCGACGGCACTTACCGTCGCAAAAACTCTTTTGCAACCCCTGCAGTTGCGACCCCTCTCTTGCCGTCGCAAAAAGTCATTTTGCCGTCGCAAAAAGTATTAGCGACGGTATTTTACCGTCGCAAAAAGTCAATTTTTTTGTAGTGAAATCATGAACATTTAAATTATAGCAAGACAAATGACAATGTGAAGCACCCAATAACTTCATCATAATTATTCCCAAGAAAAAAAAACATATTTTGTTACAATAGACATAATTAAGGTTGTGGGACTTGGCCAAATTTATTTATTTTTTTAATAAAAAAATGCGCACATAAATAACATGTGTCATACTTTTAGGTTCACAACTATGAACTTGCTCAACTCAATAAGTTAATCTCGATCAATTTAGTAATCATTTTATGTAAAAATAAAAAATAATAAAAAACACTAAAGGTGTTATTAATTTGACTATATTGACATAAAATCTAAAATTAAATATCAAAATTGAACCAATTAAAACTATAAGAATTAAAATGGCACAAAAGGCAAAATTTAGATGGTAATTGTTAACAGATGTTAGGGGAGAGAGTTGGATGTGTCAAATTTAATTAGAAAAGGCTATCTCCCTATTTAATTTTTGGCTCGATGCACTGCTTACAACAGTTTTTTTATTTTATAATATTAATTGATTTTGCATTAAGTTTACCCCACTGTCAATTGTTGTTCATGATCAAATGAAAGTTGTTGATATAACATCTAAATTTCAATCAAAATTTTATTTTATCCTCAAATTATCTCCAAAATATCTATTACACCCCTGAATAAAATGAAATTTTGGGTAAAATAATTATGTCACTAACACTAACACAGTTAAGTTTAATGGTCTTGCAGTTTATTTTCAGTAATTGGTCTCTGTACGAATTTGGAAAACTTACTATCACAGACATAAATGGATCAATAGAGATGTGGCACAACCAACTTGAAGTTGACCGCCTTGACGCAGTGGCATTCATGTTGGTCCAATGTTGCGGGAAATTATCAAATGTGATCTCGTCGAATTTAATACAGAGACTACGAAATCTACAAGGGCTGAAGGTATGGTGGTGTGATTCACTGGAAACAATATTTGACCTCCAAGGGTCGGTACGCGCTGGTACTACTGGTCTGGAATCAATCATTTGGCTAGGAGATTTGAAATTGATGTATTTGCCCAAGTTGATGCATATATGGAAGAATGTTTCCCAACAACAAACTCGTTGTTTCAAATTTCTAAAATCCCTAGAAGTGGAGAGGTGTGACAACTTGAGATATCTATTCACAATTTCCATGGTCAAGGTCCTTGGCTGTCTAAATTATCTAAGAATTGGAAATTACGAGAAAGTAGAAAAGATTGTCACCAGGGAAGTAGAAAAAGAAGAAGTATGGGGCAAAATCAAATTTTTGGATGTGGAACTTGAAAATCTTCCAAGTCTCGTGTGTATTGGAATTTCAGAATCCCAAATTCATATCTCCAAGTTGCGTGTAGATTTCTGTCCCAAGTATCGAGGTAACCAATTATACTTCCACACAAATATGCTTCTTTCATTCTCGTTGTTTTCAAAAAAATAAAACTTTCTCAAGAAAGCAACTTCACTACCCCATATATATATTTGCCACATCGACATCCCAAAATGGGAGTGGTTTAAGGAAAAAGATTCTCTCTAGCATTTTCCTCATTCGTTCATCATTTAATAGTTTATCCAAAAGCCACAGCTAGCAATAATGATTAATTGTTGAATTGTTTGATGAAGAAAGTGAGCGAGAGAATTCGAATACACAATTTAGCTGTTGTCATCCATGGTTTGTTTACATCCAGTCGTACTTGTTGGCTTCATTCAACATAAAACATGTGATGATTGAAGCTAACACCTCCAGAGACCACTCTCATTTTGTTTGTCCTACTTACACAAGAAAGTGACTTCACTGCACTGTACTTGCCACATGGTTATCTAAACTATCTTTTACCCAAGCGTAAAATATTTTTTCTGTTATCAATGTAAATAGACGTTAGAGAACTAAATTGACTCAAATTGATAACTACGGTCTAAAGTGATAAAATTAAAACTTGAGGGATTAAAATGATAGAATGCATAGTTTAAGGACTAAACCTATCTTTTATCCATAATAATAATAAGAAGAAGAAGAAGAAGAAAAACAGAGACAAATAAATTGGTCCTGTATGCATTTGTGAATATAAATCTCATTATTTTGTTTCTAGGAATGATAAAAAGAGATAAGAAATAAAATTACATACAGCATTGCTCTAATAATAATAATAAGATCTCCAAAAGTACTTATCCTTAATAAACTGTGTGCATGTTTTTAATCTTAAGATTTGAGATATAATTTGTCTCCAACAATTTGTATGTTTCAGATATTAATAGTATATCCTCCAGATTTTGAGCATTGTCTATACACTAATTTCTTAACAACGTCACAACGTGATTGTCTCTAATATAGTATTGGTTAGCAATAGATTAATTCATTAACTTATGCTTTGTTTGGATATTTTGAAACGAAAAGTTTAAAAAATAAAAATTAACCTGTATTACATTCCTATTATTCTCACATTTTTCTTTTTTCTTTTCAAATCTTTACTCAAATTCGTGATCTAAAAGCAGATCATGATTTTGGGTAGGGATTTAAAAAGAAAAAGAAAAAAAAAGTGAGTGAAATATGAATGAAAATATAAGTTAATTTTTTTTTTTTTCTCTATTTTCACTTACCTGTTCTATTTTCTCTCTGTCCAAATTTATTAGTCAAACATAATGCAATCTTTTCTTTTTTTTTAAGCCAATAGGTAAAAGGCAAATTACAAATTACAAATCTATCTATCTATCAATACGATTATATAAGCAAGCATACTGTGTGGTGATTGATGCTCAAAGTCTCAATCTATTTAATGCTAGGGATCATGAGATCATGAAAAATTCTCTACCTTTGGATCACACATGCAATAAAACACCACACACTAATCAAAAGATGAAATATCTTCATGATGTATTTCATGATATTTTTTTCATGATACCTAATATTATTCATTTTTAAAAAGTTGAGTCCTTAGATAATTTTTTTTTTTCTTTTTCTTGTAAGTCATAAGTGACAATTTCAATAACTTAATAATTGAGTGATCTTTAATAAATGATATTCGAAAGGAGAGGTGGTGTTGACAATAATGATGTATCAAGTTGATAGCTATATTTTTAGTATTAGTAATCATTTGATACTTGCCATATGCAGGTTTTGATGTGGAAGGGGAGTAATATTTACCATTTGCTGCGGTGCATCGCCAATCTCTTTACAGTAAAGGTATGCATTATTGCTACACACAAATAATAATAATAATAATAATAATAATAATAATAATAATAAAGTAAAAGCAAAAAAATTATTACACCAAATGCCTCTTCATCTTGTTGATAAATATACTGTGAGTATATCTGTTTATGCTCATATCCTTTAATTTTTAGTGTATATATTATATTTTGTTTGAGGCATTCCAAATAATATTTTCTTGGGTAAATTATATTAATAATCCTTGTATGTAGGTTCTTGTGTCATTTTAGTCTCTATAATTTCAACTAATTTGATTTTTATCCAGAATTTATGATTTTGTCTTAATTTGGTCCAATTGATTATAATTGCTAGCATATCTTTTAATGAAAAAAGTGCAAATGAAAGGCATGTGTCTAGCTTTTAGGGTGAAATTGTAAACTAGATTAACCTAGTAAGTTAACATCAAGAACTCAATGATAATTCTCCTTTTAAAAAAACCCTAATGACATAACCAAATTGACCAAAAAAAAAAAAAAAATTAAAGATAAAAATTGAGCCAGTTAAAAGTGTATCTAAAATGACGCAAGGGACAGAATGTAGAGACTATTATTATAATTCACCCTATTTTATTTTTAGAATCTAAACACTCTGCTAAACTATTTCATTGTGTGAAGTAAAGAGTTGTATTTTTTGTTCTTTGGTTGTTTAGGTCTATCTGTCATCTAGGGCTAAGAATTAACAAATTTGCCTCTCTTTTTTTGTCTATTTTTTAATATTTCTTTGAATTTTTCCCTAAAATCAATATTTATTTTTTTCAAATTTGCTTTTTCCATTACATAGCCACCACCTTCTTTGTCATCCCCTCCCCTACCGTGCAACCTCTCAGTCTCACCAACAACTTACTAAATCAATATTATCTTTCAAGTCGTATGTGTATATTGCCTTGGCTTTGGGTCTTTATTGACTTGGCATTGACGTCCATTGTTGTAATTATATATGTCTTGACCCTAATATTTAGTTGTTATTGTTGTCACATTTGTTTTTTGTAACTCTTTTTATTTATTTATTTATAATTTGTCAAAGGAATGGTTTTGGTATGATCATTCAAGTCTTTACGTAATGGCTATTGAGACATCATGTTACATATATGTTTTCCATTGTTAACTTTGTAATAAATATTTGTATCTTGCTTAGCTTAGAAACGGTTTGCACCAGTTTGACATTAGGACATTTAACGTAGTTACTTTTAACTAGTCTTTAATATCAAAATTCCAAAATTTGATTTCAGGTGATTTGCTAGATATGCTTTTCTTGATAAAGAAGTTGGAGAAATAGATATTGGCCCTATTTATGAAGAAACCAAGGCTACAAGGTGTTCTTATATATGAAGAATTGTTTAGTTGTTAGGATTACATTTGATCTATTGTTGGGTTTGTATAAATTACGTGTCATCTCATTGGTCGGGTTGATTGTGCTGGCATAGCTTTCTCTGCTGTGGTATAACTGGATTGACTTTATCATAAACCATGTAATAATTTGTGTGTGAATTTGATAAGTGTGCTTTGTGTCACAGTTTTTAACTGTGACCTTAAGTTCTTAGTCTCAGTTTTTATAATAAAAAAAGCGTGATGTGAGTGTGACTATTTGTCTGTAAAAGATCTTGCTTTTTATGAGAAAGCGTGATTGTTTATTGGGTGCAAAAGAAAATCTGTGGGTGCAAGCGTGATTGATAATATTTTTCCCCAATTCCTGGCTGCATATATAGTTTCCCTCATAGCATGTCATCTTCAAACTTTATCTAAAATTAATATTAGAAGAAATAGAGCAACAAAGAAAAGGCGGATGGATTCCGGTAGTAAATCAGTGGAAAGGTGGAAGAGGGAAAGGCATGGAAGCATCGCATGGTCTTTTCTCTGTTTTTGTGGATCATATACCATCAAAAATGGATGCTAAATCATTGTTCAAGTTCTTCTCAAAATTTGGCATAGTTAAGGATGTTTTCATTCCTTCCAAAAGACGAGTAGTGTCACATTCAAGGTTCGGATTTGTGAGGTTCGATTGTAATGTAGTAGCTGATATAGCCATTCCAAAAGCCAACAGTCTTCTGGTGGATGACAAAGTTCTAGAAGTCAAAGCTGCAGCTCTTGATAGAAGAAAGAGGGAGGAGCATAACAGGCGAAATCTAGAAGTTATGAAACCGCAGTTCATCCGGAGATCTTTTGAAGCAAGCAGATCTAGAGGACATGCTCCATTTGCTGGCCAAAGATCCTTTGCTGATATTGTGCAAGGGGTGAATACGAACACCTCCATCAAAGTCACTGAAGAGGGCAACGGTTGGCTCTATGAAAGTGCCATTATCCGTCTGAATACAGAACACTCAATTCACAGCGTTCGTGAAACACTGAAGGAGAAAGGTCTGGAGCATATTTTGGTTCGAAAAGGGGGTGGTAGGGATGTAATATTAACTTTTAACACTCAGGAGGAGTTGACATCAAACATTGACAACCTCAAGGCTTGGTTTAAGGATCTGAGTCAGTTTGTGGCAAAGCTCAAATCTGGAAATCATTTTGTCCAAGAACGATGTGTATGGCACAAATGCTGTGGGATACCCTTACATGTTTGGAACAGAAGCACTCTCACCAAGATTGGTCGTTTATGGGGCTCCGTACTCAGCATTGAGGGAGATTTGTGTGAACCAAAATCATTCTCCCACGCCAGGATCAGGATAGCCACTTCAAATATGGAATTTATTGCTAAATCTTTATCTTTGGATTGCAATGGTGAAGATCATAAGATTTTTGTGTGTGAAGACCTCTAACCAGATCTCAGTAGCCTGAACCATAATGGCATGTACGAGTCCAATTCTCTTGCAACCTGTTGCAGTGTTGAGGAAGTGAATTTTCCATTGCTAGATGGTAAGGAAAGGGGAGAAGATGATGAGGTGGCAGCGGTTAAGGCCATGTTTGAGGAGACACCCTGTGATGGAGGCGTAAACAGAGGAGGAACGTGTGCTGAGAGGGCTCTGATAGATTTGATGGAAAAGGTTGACCACTTTTCAAATAGCAATGATGAGAGACAAAAGTGTATTGAACAAGTTTATACACTTGGGTTTATACGTTGTATGAATGAAGTAAGTGCTGGTGGTGGACCCGTCATCAATTTAGAAGTGGACTTGGCCCACTTTGAAAAGCAGCCCGTCAATTGCAGGCCCATTCATTTCAATGGCTCTTCTAGTAGGCCCAATGTACCTGCATCAGATAATGGGTTACTTTCTGGCCCTATGTCCAACTTAAACCCGTGTATGAGGAGTAATTTTGCTCATACACAGTCAATCCAAGACTCAATCTCAGCCTCCAACAAAGATCACCAGCGAAACCTGAGGAATAAAGGGAAGATGAAGTCACAAATGGAGGGGTTCACTAGCTTTGCTAGGATTCATGCGTACACAAACAATGCAGCCAAGAAGCACTATGCTAAATCTGTTATTTACAAGCCTGCTGTTAAAGCTCTAGCCCAGTCTAATTCATTTGCAGGTGATTCTTCTCTGAGAAACCAGATTCTTTCTGAAACTGCAGCTACAATTCAATTGGGGAAGTCTCTTGGAATAGACTACCATGGGAAGGAAGGCATTGTGCTCAACAAAATTGCTGAATTAGAACTTAAAGACAAGGAGAAAATTGCCAAGGAGGGGAAAGCCCAGCAGTAAATGGAAGGAGTAGGGCCTTGTGAGTGAATCAATGGGTTTATCATGAAGTTAATATCTTGGAATATCAGGGGTATGGGGAAGGTGGAGAAACAGGGTAGAATCAAGAGGCTCCTAAAGGACAGAAATGTTGATATTGTTTTTTTCAAGAAACCAAAAGGGCAGTTATATCAGATGGTGATGCTAGAAGGCTATGGGGAAGTAAAAATATGGAGTTTATGTCTGTTGATCCTGAAGGAACAGCCGGAGGCCTGCTATGTATTTGGGATCCTGTAGTTTTCACACTCTCTGGCTGTTGTTGTAATAGGAGGTACATCTTACTCTCAGGTTCCTTATATAACACTTTTGACTGTGTCCTACTCAATATTCATGCCCCCAATGATGTTGGTGCCAGATCTTCTTTTTGGGCTAATGTCTTAAAGCTTAAATCCCTTTTCCCTCTTCCTTGGTGCATGGGTGGTGATTTTAATGAAATTAGTCATATTAGTGAAGGAGTTGGTTGCTCTAGGAGAGATAGGGGCATGAAGCATCTTAATGAATTCATTGGCAATAGTGAGCTTCATGATTTACCACTTCATGGGAGGAGATACACATGGTGCAGTGCCCAGGAATCAGAGAAATGAAGCAGAATTGATAGGATTTTACTAAGTCCTGAATGGATGATTAATTTCTTAATGAAATTGTGGGGTTTACCCAGGCTAATCTCAGACCATTGCCCTTTATTAATGATGGAGGATACCAGAGATTGGGGGCCAAAACCCTTTAGGTTCCTAAATGCGTGGACTCTTCATCCCAGCTTTGCTCAGTTATTTGTCTCATCATGGTCAGATACCTCTTCTGTTGGCTGGTCTGGGTATATACTCTCCCAAAAGCTAAAGCATCTGAAGCAAGTCTTAAAATCTTGGAACATTCAGGTGTTTGGCAATATGGCTTCTAAAATAAAATCTTCAGAAGATGAACTACATACTCTGGATATCACTGCAGAGGAAAGAGCACTGAGTGCTTCAGAAAAGGCAAGAAGAAGGGAGGTTAAAGGTGAGTTGTGGAAGCTATACAGAATGGTAAAATGGATGTGGCATCAAAAATCCATATTGAATTGGGCTATCAATGGGGATAAAAACAGTAGGTTTTTTCATGTAGTTGCAAGTTCTCGGCAGAATTGAAATCTCATAAACTCTATTTCAGTAAATAGAGTGTCCATTGAGGATCCTAATGGAGTTAGGCAACAAGTTCTCTTTCACTTTAAGGCCCAATTCTCTGAATCATAGGTTAACAGGCCTTCTTTGTCAGGCGTATTCAACACCATTGACCTGGATTATGTCTCTCAACATCTGGTAGCTGAGTTCAGTGCAGCTGAGGTACTTGCAGCAATAAAAGACTATAACAATAACAAAGCTCCAGGCCCTGATGGGTTCAACCTACTATGTTATCAGAAATTCTGGAAGGTTATGAAGCTGGACGTAATGCAATTTTTCAAAGAGTTTCATTCTAACAGCAGGCTTGCATATGGCATCAATAGCTCATTTATCAACCTTATTCCCAAGGTGGACAACCCTATTGGTCTATCTGACTACAGACCTATTAGTCTTGTGGGATCTATCTACAAAATCTTGGCCAAAGTCTTAGCATCCAGATTAAAGTCAGTGCTCCCCTCAATCATTGGTGAAACACAAACAACATTCTTGGGAGGGAGAAATATTCTGGATGGGGTGTTTATTGCTAATAAGGTAGTAGATGGTTGGAAG